ACCTCATGAAACTGAAAAGCTGCTGCATGGCAAAGGATATTGTCATTTGAACAAAGCAGCGGCCTACAGAATGGGAAAAGATTTTTACCCACTACACATCCAGTAGAGGGCTAATACCCAAAATAAATAAAGAGCTCAAAAAACTAGATATAAAGAAAACACAATAGTTTTAAAATGGGTTGCAGCTCTAAACAGAGAATTCTCAAAAGAGGAATCTCAAATGGCTGAGAAACACTTAAAGAAATATTCAACATCCTTAGCCATCAGGGCAATGAAAATCAAAACTACTTTCAGATTTCAATTCATACCCTTCAAAATGGCTAAGATCAACAAAACAAATGACAGCTCATGCTGGCAAGGATGTGGAATATGATGAACACTCATTCATTGCTGGTGGGAGTGCAAACTTGTACAGCCACTATGGAAGTCAGTGTGGCAGTTCCTTAGGAAGATGGGGCTTGATCTATCTTAAGATCCAGCTATACCACTCTTGGGCATGTACCCAAAGGATACTTCATCCTACCACAGAGACACTTGCTCAGTCATGTTTGTTGCTGCTCTACTCATAATATCTAGAAATTAGGAACAACCTAAATGTCCCTCAACAGATGAATGAGTAAAGAAAATGTGGCACATTAACACCATGTACTATTAGTCAACTGTTAAAAAAATGAAATTTGCAGGTAAATGGATGGTACTAGAAAAAAAATCATCCTGAGTGAGGCAACCCAGACAAATGGGATATGTATGTAATTTCTCCAAGGGAGTCTCGCTGGGGAAAGAAACTACTCTTGAGGGTAGGATGCATGCCCAGAAGTAGATGCCAAGAGAAAACAAACTCAGTGGTATCTTTGGAAATTCCTTATCTCATAATGCCATCTTAGGGCCTTTTCTTTTTTTAAAAAATTATCTTATAATATATATATATGATATTTTATACATATCTTATTATATATAATATATAAAATATCCTTATGTAGGATATTTTACCTGATATATTCTCTCTCTATATATGTATCTTATTTTTTATTATTTTTATATATAGTTATATCTATCTTTTAGACCTACAGGTTCTTTGTGTACACATAATGGCTTCCATTTTAGTGTTATGGGATTTCTGAGTATGTGAATGAGTGGGTCTAGTCTCTGAGTTGATATCATTTTCATGTGCCCTTTCTTGGTCTCTTTTCCTTTTGTTTGTTTTGTCCTATTCCAATGTATTAGGTTTTTAAAAATATATTATCATATTGTATTTTATTTTATTATTATCCCTTAGAAACCTATTTGTTTTCTAATGAGAGACAGAAAAAGGGTTGGATCCAGATGGGATGGGTGGGGAGGAACTGGGAAGAGTAGGTGGAGGAGAAACTGTAATCAGGATGTATTATGTGAGGAAAAAAAAAAACCTATTTTCAATAAAAGGAAAATAGAAAGAAAACAAAAAAACTCCCAAACTAAATTTTAAAAATGAACACCTTGAAACATCACACGATAATCTATAATATGTTTATTTGATGTATCAATTAAAATATATTTAATTAAAAAGAAAGTCTAGTAATAGCAGAGTGTGGAGGTGGAGGTGAGAACTCCAGAGTGTGGAAAGGCTTGTTACTGGTGAGGTGGTCAAAAGGAAATGAAAGAAATGTGTAAGAGGAATGAACGCAGCAGGAGGAGAAGTCACCACATATGACAGGAGCCAGCCGGAATAAAGCATGAAAGAAGAGGACAACTTCAGAATTTATTTCCCGTGGCTGCTGTTAGTTTTAGCCACTATGACTTGGGACCCACAACTTCTGTCTCTTCAGTTGTCAAAAACACCTCAGTGAATTATCTGTTCAGATGAGAAATAAGATTGATAACTATCTCGAATCTCATGTCCTTTTATAAGAGAATATCTTATAACTAGATTAATTTTTCTAGAGCCCTGTTCTTTTAAGACATTGGGACATGTAAATAATTTAATTAATTAGAGGGTGCACACTCTTTGGGCTGGTTTTTGAGTCCTCTGTTGATGAAGGTGTATGTGAAACTGCAGGGGAAAAAATGCGTGCCTTTATTTTTTTCTCTACTGTAAAGCAAATAATAGTTCAGTAGGTGAGCTCATCTCTCCATATTGCTGCGTGTGGAGTGAAAGCATTACCTTGCTGAACACTCTCCATGGACCACCACATGAGAGGCAGACATTCATTATCTCCTTCAGATCACAAGTTTCAAATGAGAAATCACCATAGCCAACTCTTGGCCTGAAGTCCAGAAAGGTCCAGATGAACCCTTTCTCTGTTTCTTTTCCAAGTTCTGAATATTTGAAAAAAAGATAAGATGAAGATCAAGTCAGGCGGAGTCCAAGTAGCCCTGATATCATGCTGACACATTCTAATATAGTATAATGTGTTATGTGTCTGTGAACAGACAAACTTCTTGATACCGAGTTTTTAGGAGTAGGTAGGTCAGTTTACCCAGTCATCAGTCTTATCCCATGGAGGAGAATGTACACATGGGGACACAGAGCAGAACCATGACCCCTTCTCCTTGGCAAGGGAGACAGGAGCCATATTGGCATGCACATCCATGGTCAAAAGTGAGTGAGCTGTGGGAGGGAGGCAAGAGGCCACCCACACCCCCTACACGTGCAAGGAAACATAAGGAATCTGAAACATCAATTCTTCCCACCACCCACTTCTCCAACGGAAGACTTTCCCCCAGCTACCAAGCTAATTAAAGCAGAGCTGGGATTAGAATAGAGGACGCTGGGCTGCTTCCCATTCTATAGCACTGTTCTTGCCAATAAACAGCTAATTTTGAAAGCATTACATCGTCTTCATTCCAGATGACAGGCAGCAGAGAGGCCAGAACAGATGTGGTTCTGAAATGCTCAAGACAATGTTGTGCAGTTGATACCATTATCAATCATCTGTAGATAAAGAAATAGGAGTTTGGAGAGGTTAAATATTGGGTGGTGATCACGGAAGCCGGGTGTAGAGAATTTAGGCTGTGAGCTCAGACTTATTAAACTTTAAAAAGTCATGCCTCTTCCTACAGCATCACGAATCCTCATGCTGGAAGCCGGTTGAGTGACATCAGCTGTGCAAGTGTGCATGGAAGGAGGTGTCTCTGTTAAAAGCAAAGCCAGAAAAATTGTTGTGATGACTATTTTGATAGGCAGAAGGCCAGGGTAAGAGAATTCTTGAGAAATGCAATGAGATAAGACACGGAGAGTTAGAAATCGTACACTGCAACTGGGGTTATTAATTAAGTAATTAATTAATTCTGAAGCTGAAGTGTGCCTGCCATGTGCTAGAAGAGTAGCAACTTAATTAATTTTCTGGATTAAGAATGAACCCTGACCTGGGATCCAGGTCAGTAGGAATATGAGTCAGGATGGGAGATGTCCCTGCTTTTAATGACAGTCCCCTAAAGTAAGGGCAGGGGAGAGAGGGGCTGGGGACGGAGCCAAGGGAATGGTTATGGGAAAACTTAGCTCCAGAAAGAAGGCTACATGGTGCAAGAGGAGCAGGAAGGTCCCTCCCTGTTGCTCAGGGTCCTCTATGAGAGAGCACAGGGTGGTCCGTGTGTGAATGGGGGTCACACAAGTGGGTGTGACAGGAATGAAAACCATTTTCTCAGGCTTCCTGGGCAGCACACTTCAGCCAGCATTTCCTTCATGTGTGGTACCAGTAGGTCCAGCCTCACCCTGAATTTCAGATTTATTAACTAAAAGAAGAAATCATGCATGGACAGTACATATTACCATTTGAATCAGAGAGCTGCCTCAAACAGAGAATTTTAGGGAATTCTTAGTGGAAAAAGCTTGGAAACAAAGAGAGAATTAGTCACCCTCGAAGGTTTTCTAATTGTAGAATTTCATGTTTCAGTTTTCATTTATCTGACTGACTTCTTGTGAGGACCCAGAGTTATCTATAGTCTCCCATTAGGAGCTTTTGCAAGCAGCCCTCAACAGTTCACCACTGCTATTGAGGTTATCACTACATTATTTCAAAGTGATGGAGAAAAGTAGAATTCTGAAATATTTTCTTCCTCTTATAGCACTTCCAATGGTCTTACAATCCTTCCTTATTTGGGTAGATTTCCCTTATGAACATTAATAAATGGTATACTGGAAGAAGAGAAAGTCCCAGAATTTCAGAGTCTTAAGTTTTGAGAAGGAGCAGAGAAAATGCAAAGTGAGTCAGATGTGTTTCTCAGGCCTGACATCATTGAAGAGTTCTTGGAACAGGGAAAAGGTGATGGAAGGAGACAAAGGGGCAAGAGCCCCAGAGAAAGCGAAGAATGAGTAGGCACACTCATTCCAGGGTGGAGGATCCATCGGCAGAGAGGACCCAGGGCTCTACATTTTGCTGGAGACAGGGGAGATGGGACTTCATGAGGGGATGAACTGTGTGGAGTGTCTACTGTCTTGGACCTGAAAAGCTCTGAGGATCTCCATTGCTCACCATGAGATGGGAGCGAAAAATGAAGTCAGCATGAAGCAGGTGAGGGGAAGGTTGGTGCAGGGCTATGGGTGGCCCTGCCTGTCTGGGTTCCACAAATTGAGCAACAGGGACCAGCAGAAGACCCTGGAACATTCAGAGAGGACACTAGTCACAAGGAATCCTGAATCAGCAGTGCTAGGGGAGTTAGCAGGGACTTTATGGACCCAATAATTAGTCACAAAACCACAGGTGTGGGCCTTCCCAGAGCTCAGGCTGGGTCCTTCTCTTCCCTTTGACTCCACTGGTCTACACCAGGCCCATGGGGAAGCTTTGCATAATCTCTCCCCAGAAGCCAGAGAGACTCGGAGGCAGTTGCTGGATGTTGGTCACCAAGCTGGTGACGTTTCTGCCTCTCAGCAGACTAGGGATGTCTATGTAGATTTTAAATTAAATCACAGAAAAGTACATAGCGTTTTAGCGCTCCACTTTTCAGCTTAGTACTTTCTCAGAGACCCTGTGAAGTTTCCTCTCTTTCTTTTCAGAGGTGACATTGAGGCCATGAAATAAATGAAGCAGCATTCTCGAAGGCACATAGCTGGAAACGGAGGTGGGAGACCCACCATCGATGTGGCTGTAAGGACTCTCGTTATCTCTACAGACCACAGCATTTTTAAAAAAAGACGCATTCACCCAAGAAACACGGCCTAGACAGATAATGAGAGTAGCCGCGCAGAGGCGCCAAGCAGAAATAGTTATGGGGCCACTTGACAAATTCTCTTTGAAATAACTGTGATTCACTGAGAGGAAGGAAAGAAGATGTTTAAAAAAAGACTCCAGTGCATCTTGTATAAGAGGCAGTTTCCTTCTGGTCCCTTTGGGTTAAATCTCCTTCAGGGCTCTTTGCTAAAGAAAAGGGTGTTTAGCCTTAAAAATGGATGGATAAGCTCCGGACACGCTCTGTCAGCTCGGTAAACACAGTCTCAGAGTTGACTCCCCGTAGCAGGTTTCTTGGTGTCTATGAACAGAACACAATCCAGGTGGGTCGGACACGAGGGTCTCCAGTCCAGCTGAAGCCGAGGACAGTGACAAAATGACTGTCAAAGCCAATAGTTATTTTGAGTTTGCATTAACTGAGGCAGTTGAAGGACTGAGGAAAGATGGGGCGGGGGTAGTGGTGGCTGTTACTTTTAGTTCATACAGAAAGTTGAGGGGATGAAGTCTCTTTTCACTTCAGAAAGTACTGATAACGGGTCTGGGGTTGCAGCAAGTAAGCCAATGTACTTCAATAGTGAATGAGGGAGAAAGAGAAAAGAAACCCTTGTAATTCTGATATGGCTGCTATTAGGCAGTTTTTCTAGGTTGACGGTATTACAACTTAAACCTAAAACAACACAAGAAAACTCTGCTGTGGTTTGTGGCCCAAAGAGACACGGCATTTTCCCCGAGACATACACAAATTGCTAATATTAATGTTAGAGGTTAAAGTAGGGCGCTATTTGGTCCATAGCATTGCTCTTAGTATCTCCTTCCTTGACCTAAGATCCTTACTCTTTCGGGTCCAGAACACACGCAGACATCCTTCACACCTGTGAGCAGTGCCTTCCACATGGTTGACTGTCTGGGTCTCCGAGGGAGCTTTTTGCACATTACATTTCTGTGAAAAGTCTCTCACTTGCAATGTGATGTTTCTTCTGGGCCTATGCACCGTTCTAACTGGAGATTCCCCAGGTGGAATGTTAGCCATTTCCTGTCAGCTCCTGCTCAGTGCCATTCTCCTGTTTTGTTTCATTTTTCTTCCATGTTTTTGGTCACTAACTCTGAAATTCCAATGCCAACACTATCATGCCAGAAGCTCAAACCTCACCCCCTAGAAATAAATCTGAATATTTCTTGTTCTTTTTTTTAAGAATTGCCTTGCCTGATAATTTCCTTGTGTGTATGTGTGTATGTGTGTGCATGTGTGTGCATGCGTGTGTATGTGTGTGTGTGTGTGTGTGTGTGTGTGTGTGTGTTTTCCTTTCTTCATATGCCTTTAAGCCAGTGGTTCTCAACCTTCCTAATGCTGTGACCCTTTAATACAGTTCCTCATGTTGTGGTGACCCCCAACCATAAAAAATTATTTTCATTGCTACTTCATAACTGTAATTTTCTACTGTAATGAATTGTAAATATTTTGGGAGACAGAAGTTTGCCAAGGGGGTCACAACCCATAGGTTGAGAAGCATTGCCTTAAGCAATATTTTTTTTTAGAACCATTATACTATATTTTAGCTAAAGAACAATAGCAATGTAACGTTTCAGAGTTAAGGTAGTTGTTTTAAATACCATAAATGAAAACTTTTAATAATAAAGGCGAGGCTCAGTGGCACTAAATAGCAAAGCCCGATTACACTGTAGTAGGCATGGTTAAAATCCTTGTTCAGGGATAACTACTCAGAGCTGAGTTCACAGTCATCAGAAACATGCATCTTAATGTTTTCTGAATACTAAACAGAGAAGCCAAACCATCAGCAAACCTACAGACTCCAAAATTGCAGTAGGCAGTGTTTGAGACGGCACTGGGTATGGGGAGTGACCTCCATATTCCTTGGTTTGGTGGTACTGAGCCTTAGGGCTGAATAGAGTATCAGTTACCATGAGATCAGGTGATCTATATTGACTTAACACACATTCCAGCAATTTAATATAGAAAAAACTTTTTTTTTTTAAAAAAAAAGTATGAAATACCTTATGGAAAGAAACGTTCACTTAAATATAGACTGGGGCGCTGATGTAAGGAATCAAGTCCAGGGTGATGACTAGTTGACTTCTTTTCTTAGTCTGCTCTCTCATTACTCGCTTGCTTCTGAGCACCTTGTGGATGTCCTGGGTTTGGGCGTGCACATGGCCTCCATGTACATGAACATCTGGATGTGCACCCACACTCACACTGTTGCACTGGTTGCTTTTGTGTAGCTGTGTGACCAGGAAAGATTTACTTGTCTCTCGGCTTCAGACGTGTCAGCCCATCATGAAGGACAGGGCCAGGTAGAGAAGGACAGCTCACAGGATGGTGGGCAGCAGGCAGAGGAAAAGGAATACAAATAAAGGGCCAGGGTGAGAGTCAGCCCCCACAGACAGGCCCCTAGAGACTTGTTTCCTTCAGCTACATCCAGCATCCTACCTTTCACTACCTCTTAATAACACTATCTACTATAAATCCATAAATGATTAGTCCATTCATTAGATCAGAGTCCTTCTAGTGCAATGGTCTCTGGAAGTCCATTGCAGACACCCCCTGAAGTGTGTGCCCTGCTGGCCCTCTAGGTGCTTCTGAGTCTAAAGAAGTAGATGATTAAGATTAAACATCACATGTTCAGGTATTTAGACCCAAATGCCTTTTAGAAGACCAATGATCATAAAACACCTAACATTTCTAGAACAGCAACGTTGTAACAAAATCTGATTAGCACTCTTGATGTACTGTCCAATTAATTTTCCTTCAAATCTTGTAGTAAAGGCCACTAGCTTCCTTCCCAGCTTTCCAGCTAAGGAAAGCAGTTTGCCAAGTTTGTATCTTGTTTTTAAAAAAGTAGAAGCTGATTGGAGGCATGGATGGGACTCTAGCACTCTGCCTTGGACCTCTTTCTAGGGCATCTCTGAAGTGATTACAATTGAACTCGTTCAGGCACTTTATTTCCTAAAAGGCCACACCTAAAGTTGCTCTAAGCTGTCACGGTGTCATTTGGAGCAGGTAGCTCTTGACTGACATCTGCTACCCAGATTTGAGTTTTCAAAATGCATAGTTTGGGAGATATTTTAGATTTGGTAGGTATCCATGATTTGCGTGTATGGCACACAGCCAGTCTTTCAAAACGAGGCTGGAAAGAACCCTCAGTTATTTGTGGGGGACTCACATTACACAGCCCTTGCACTATCTCATTAAAGGCCCACCTCTACTCAACATATCTGGCCTCCAGACTACATTTGCATTAAGCTATTCCCAATGACCCGTTCTTCAGTTAAGTTTGCTGGTCTCAGAATTCCTCACTGCTGGTCCCTGTGCTCTGATGCACTTATCCAGAGGTACCATTTACGTTGCACTATAGCTGTCACTCACATAGGAAATTCCTGTAAATGATATGCTCAAGAGTTTGGTAACACAGCAGGCCTGCATCGTATTCCCTTCCTTATCTAATCTTGCACAGTCTCATAACTAGACTGCCAGTGAAGCCTGAGTTCCATGAGCTTTCTGGTGTCAAATCCCCAACCTCTCAATTTTCTTACATGGATGAACTGGCTGTTTTCTGAAAACAGGGCTGGTAATTTATTTATAATCCAGTGTTTCCAGCTTTCATAGATTTAAGGTGGCCATCTACTGAATTACCCCCCTGCTTAATTGAGTCCATAGATTGTCTTTGGAAAGCAACATTTCCAATGTAAATGACCATAAAGAGTGTTTCCATGACTCACTGGCTTATTGAAAATTCAATACCCAAAGCCTTCATCAGTTGCCCAATTTAATCAGCATCTGTCTGCATACTCTGTGCAGATTTTCCAAATCAAGCCTGTACACAAGCATTGGTAATTTGCCTACCCAATATAACACAAGCCAGTCAATTCTTTTCTCCTTCCTTTGAAACATTTCCTCTCATCTCTGATTTGCATGCCCCCTTCGCTGTTTATGAGTCTCTGGATCTTACATTGCTTTCATCTATTTCACCCATTGAGGACAGAAACAGGGCAACTCTACATCTTAGTATGTCTAGCAAAATCCCTTGAACAATAAACATTTATTAATGGCTTTGTCTCTTTTGTTCACTGCTCTGTCTCTAGAAAATCAGAAAAATCCTTGGCATGGCTAATTGTTGAGTGGGTAAACTGGCGGTTGTTTTTTATTAAAACCTTACTAAAGAAATCTAAACAAATAAGAAAGTAATGTGAAAGACAGGAAAAAGGTGGGTACATCTGTATTTTGTCTGAATTAGAATCCTTAAGCTACACTGAATTTGATGAATTATTTAGCAAACACACCTTTAATAATTCATATTTGGTCCAAGATGAGCACTCAGTGCCCTTTCTGCATATCTTACATCATGGAAACCCATTTGGCTAAAGGCTTCTAAGTCACGAAGGAAAGGGAATATGTGAACTTTGTGTAATTATCCCCACTCCACCTACCCACATGCAGGTGTTTTTAGGAAGCGAGGGCATGGAATAGCAGAGGGACAGCTAGCTGTTAGGGGTGACATTTTCAAGATACGTGGTATCTTCAACTCCATGCAAGAACTTTTGCATCATTTGTGAGGGCTCTGATTTAAAAACAAAACAAAAAGTTACTGGGTGGGGCGTGGTGGCACATACTGAACCCCAGCACTGGAGAAGGTAAGACGAGCGTGTCTCAGGTTGAAGACCAGTATGAGCTGCGTGTTGAAACCCTGTCTCTAAAACCAAACAACAGCAGCAAGGCAACAGGATGAGCTTCACGTGGACTTTGTTATTACAGTACTTACTTGCTCAGTTTAAGCACATCTGGTTTGATGGGTTTGATGGTAAACTGCCCCATATTAGTCACATGTGTCTGGACTCTTGGTCCCCATCTGATGGTGCTATTTTGAAAGATTATGGAACCTTTAATATGCCTTGAAGGTTTATAGATCCATCCTACTTCCTGTTTGCTCTCTGATTCCAGACAGCAGGTATAAGTGATCGGCACCTCATGCACCTGTAAGGGTAGCAACAACTGTGGAAGAAGCTGGTCTGGGCTTCCTGAAGATTGTAACACACAAATGGAGATGGGCCCATGGGATTTTTTTTTTCCTACATTGGAGTTGCTGTCTGCTGAGGCAATGGCTGAGCAATGCCTGCTGGGGAGAGAGGTGAAGTTTGGTGTTAGCACAGCATTGTCTGGTAGGACCTTGAGTCCTGTCAGAGTTAAACAATGCCTGGAAAAGACACGGGTCTGTGTAAATCTTGATCAATAAAGAGGTAGACACCACTTCTCATCCTAGAGCTTGGAAAGGATCTCATCAACATCAGGTTCCCTTAGATTCATAGGCCGAACACATATCCAGACTCAAATTCAATGCAATTCTTATTTTAACCAGTGTCCTCAACTTAATAGGTAAAGGCATGACCAGGGATGTATTAG